AATAGACACAAATGTGTCTAGTGTTGTCGCCTCAACCGTTCCTTTTGAAAGATGGTTCCAGTCCCTGATTGTCTTGGGCAGGAATGAGCAGCTCCTATACTGGCTTCTTGCTGGTATGAGCCTGAATTGCCTGTCATGGTCTCGTCGCTGTCTATGGGGGAGAGGGACGAGTTTCTGTTTAATACTGGAACAGTGGACCAGCCCATTATTTATCTTGTACATCATGGAGAGCCTGGATTGTCGTCGTCGTTTCTCCAATGGTGACCAGCCTAGTGTTTCTAGCATGCTGCCAACACTAGAGGTATTCTCTTTAAAGATAAGATACTAAAAATTAAAAAAATTGACATTTTATATCACTAATTAATTTCTTTTTTGTGCTAAAATCTTAAGAGATGTATGATTAAAATATATAAAAAATACATCCCACTAGAGTAAGAAGAATTACTTGTTTTAAAAAAAAGAACTTCCCTAAGAGGTAGAAGAGTTACTTACAAATACTCTCTATTAGCACTGTATGGACAGGAATACGACCGAGTGATAGGGGGCAGCGCGGTTTCATCATAATGAAACAAGACAAAGGTTTTTCTTACAAGCCTAATAGTGTTCTCCCACAGCTTTCTTCCAAATGTTGGGATTGGAGCCTAGACAGAGTAAAAAAAAAAAAAAAGTACTAACAAAATTATCTAGCATGGACAAATGTATTTGTTAGTGTACTGTTTGAAACAACTACATCAAAGAAATAACTTTTAGTCCATATGGTTTATGCCATGCATTTTAACATGTAGTAAGGAAATAAGCATCTTGTGTCAAACTTATCACCCAGAAACTGGCACATAACACATTTCTAGAGCTAGCTATTATAAGTTAGTCTTATGTAAAAGAAATTAATTTATTTAGCCAATGATTTTCAACTGTTTATTCATTAACTACATTGCTACTGTGTCATCACCTAAAAATATTTTGAGGTTTTTTTTCTTTAAAGTTTTTATAATTTTAGTTTAAAATCACATTCTGGACACATACTTTGTTTTTAAATATTTTGAGAAAAGACGATCACAAAAGGCAAAAAAACAATATTTGAGATTGAGAAAATGTTTTTAATAATAGTGATGATGTCGGCCAAGTGAGTCTATCCATTTCCAGCAGTAGAATGCACGTGTAAGTTTAAATAGTGCATGTAGTTGTTTGAATGTCAAATCAATGATTGAGAGACAGCACAATTAAAATGCTGGAGATTCTTAAGCTAAATGAAGCAAAAACAAAATTCAAGGTATATCATGTTAGGCAAACTAACTTTTTAGAATTTGTGTGTGAGCAAAATAAAAAATAAATTACAAAACAGCTATTTACTAATAAAATACAAAAAAATTATTAAAGTAAAGAGAAAATAAAGAGAAAGTAACTAAGCTGATGTCCTGTCCGTTCGTTCACCATACAAATACGCT